TGAGGTGCAACAAAAGGAATCCTTCTCCCTAAAAGCACCCCTGTTTTTGGGCATGGCTCTACATTGCAAAGTCAGTCTGTTTAGAGGAAGGAAGCTCCTGGCCTCCAGTTCTTCCAAAGGAGCAGTCAGTACACAGGTTGAGCACGAGATTCCTGGTCAGCAGTGATGCATGACTCACTGCACGTGCACCTGGAGGCAAGCCTGGCCCTTGCCCACCACCATGGCAGCATTCAGTGCCTGCCAACTTCAGCATCAGTCTTCATACAGCACAGATCTTGAAGAAGGTCAAGGCCGGGGTGGGCTTCTCACTGTCGGGAAGTTGCCAAGGGATGGAAGAAACACATATACAAGTTTACCTGCAACCTGCAAGTCCTTACTCCTGCCTATTAGGCTACACAGGTTCTTCAACAACAAGATTCCTTTGGTGGGCATGCTGTGGGTTAGGGAGAACAGTGATGAAGGAAAGAAGACTACTGGGATCTCAGCATTCACATCTGCACATTATAAAGGCCTTATATTCTAAGTCATTAAGAGACCACTCAATACCAACTCAAAATTAGTTAGTGGACACAGAAAGCATTTTCTTAATATGTTTTAGGTTTAGACAAAAGTTTCACAAAGGACAGAAGGACAAAGGGATGAGTATGAGGATCATTGCTGATAAAAAAAAAAAAAAAACTTGTGATCTTAACTCTGAAACAGAATGTTGGAAAAGTTGAGTTGACACTTCTTCTATGGATGCCTGGATGATGGCTGTATGGATGGATGGATGGGTGGATGGATGATGGGTGGATGGATGGATGATGCATGGATGGATGGGTGTGTGGATGGATGATGGATGAATGGTTGGTGGGTGTATGGATGAATGATGGATGGATGGATGATGAATGGATGGATGGGTGTGTGGACGGATGATGGATGGATGGATGGTGGATGGATGGATGATGAAGGGATGTATGGATGGATATTCTCTCAGACCAACCCAGGAAAAGAAGAAACATGGGAAGAATATTTCACATCTCTCTCCACTGGTCCCTCAAGATCTACAATGGGGGAGCAACCCATGATATGCCCCTGG